CCCCCCCCCCCATTACGCCAATGCTGGTCACCATTACGTACCAATATTTGGCTCGCATAATTTCAAATTTGGGCCCCTTTTCCTTATGATAAGTGCCCCCATAAAGAAGACAGAGCTACTTCCCCTTAGCATTACTGCCCCTTTTAAAAATCTGAACGGTGCCCTTTTTCATTCAACAAATGCACATTTTCCTTTATTATAAGTGCCCCTTTTACATGTTCATAAGGGCCCCTTTTCATATCTGGTCAGTGCCCCTTTTCACCTCTGATAATTCCCCTTTTAATAATGATACGTGCCCCTTTTACTTTCTAATAAGGGACCTATCCCCTTTTCACCTCTTATAAATGCCCCTATCAAAATCTAATGGGTGCCCCTTTTCCGTCAACAAATGCCTATTTCCCATTTTCGTAAACGCCTCTTTTTCATCACTGGTGAGTGCCTCTTTTCAGGTGAAAAAATGCCTCATTTTCACCTCTTATAATTATCCTTTGTACTTTGACACGTGCTCCTTTTCTATTCTAATAAGTGTCTTATCCCTTTCGATAATTGTCCCCTTTTCATGTAATCATTAAACGTGTCCCTTATTTAAAGCAACTAAGAGCAATTTCCCCAAAGTTTGCTCGATGCGCTCGCTCGCATTTAAAGATGATATAATTATGTTACTTATCAAAGGTCTTTTCAGTCTTCCGTTATGAAAATGTGCTTATAAACCCCATCACGATTGGCTTTTTTCCTCTTTAAAAGATGTAATTTTTCGCACTGCGACCTCTCAGATCTTAAAAAATTTTCTCGCTCGCTTCGCTCGCTTGTAAATGCATATTCAGACATCACACCCAACTGTAAAGTATGATGCTTAAGCGATATCTTGTATGATGTATGAAGAGAAACAAATATTGAAATCATCTCTGATAATGTAATCGCAATGTACATGTAGGGGTATATACCAATGTCTAAAAAATGGTATATTTTCGCTTTGAGATTTCCCACTGTAGGTGCCCCTTTTTTCCAGAAAGTGCCCTTTTTAGGTGGTGCCCCCCCCCCCCCCACTTTGGAAGTCGCTCGGCCGCCCCTGATCTTTATGTTACTACTTGAAAGTGTGTCGTCTTATTTCGGAGTTCATTATAATAAAACATTACAGTTTGCAGCTGTCAGTATTTCGAAATATGTCAAATTCTTTTACTTTATGGTTGTCAAATTTGGCTGTGCGTGCATGTATGTATGCATGTATAAATTTATGTACATGTGTTTGGGTATGTGTTTGTTTGTTGTTTGTTCATTTGTGTGTGTGCGTGCGTGTGTGTGTGTGTGTGTGTGTTTTGGACGAAGGTGTGAATTAATAACTGATTTCTGATGTATTTCTTTATAGCTAACAATTTTAGTTTTGTCATTTCTTGATGAAGATATAAATCAAATTTACATTGTACTTTTATTCGAGGCACATGTAAAAGTATGGATCTTCAGTGACTGGTCCCTCAGAAACTAGTGCTAAGCCAGTCACAGAGAATTCATTATTTCAACTGATGCCTGTCAGTGCATTGAAAATTTGATTTTTATTCAAATTTCAATGTAAAATCTTTTCATATTTGTGGATTTATCATATTCATATTCTGAATATTTTCAGCGAATTGAATAATATTGAAAAGGATGCCATTCATAGTTGTACTCGATAATTCTCACTTAACATATTCTCTCTCTCTCTCTCTCCTCTCTCTTGCATAAAGAAAATATGAAAATAATATTTTGCCTTGATTAAGAAAAATTGAAAAATTTATCAGTATTAAACAGGGAGAAAGAAAAGGGGAGGAAATTTATCAAAACAAACATTGAAGAATCCAATTCAGTGTTCTTTCGTGATGCATATAATTAGAATGAAAGTACATTGAAAGGTGAAATAATAAAATTGAAGAGCGATGACGAATCAATTCTTTGACGTTGATTGATTGAATAAAAAATAATGAAACAATATGGTCTGAGGGTCATATATCTTCGAATATTAGAAAGTTTCAACCATCATCGTGTTGTTGAACACTATTTGCAATTTAATTTGAATGCGGTGACTTGTCAATTACGAGCAGAAGGTCATTGCAGGCTTCGATATGCTATAATACTAGAAGCTATCTAGACAGTAATTCAACAGATATCTGGGTAGAGACACTTCGGGGACACTTCGTCACATCAAGCTACGAGGATGTCGAGGAAGTATATCATCATCTCACAGAATTCTACTCGAACACCGCATCGAAATCAGGTAGGACCCAACATCCATTACGTTATGCCTGTTGAACAAGATATGTCTTTCTGATTCCGTCAGTTTATAATGGTATTGACAATGATATCGATTATTTAGGAGCGCTAAAACAAAAAATACCTTATCGCTTACTAAGTAACAGAATGTGAAGAGAAACAATAAACTATTAGATAGGTGAATCAATCTTTATTACTGAGGGAAGAAGTATGTTTTAATGGGATCTTTTAAACGTGGCAATACAGGTTAATTATCTTCCGAAGCAGCCACTATAAAACGTTTTTCGGTCTATGAGATTCAGAATTTGGGAATAATTAATGTATATTCAGTTGTTGAGCGTAGGTCTGCATTTCTTTTTGTTCGCCTCTTGTGCAACGGGCTTTTAGTGCACATTTATCAGGATCTATGCAATTTTGAGGGGTACGATGGCCCAATGATCTCGTAAACAGGGGGTCTAAAGGGTGCTAGTGTCTTACACCTACCTTCATAAATTGGTATTTGAATATATATTGGTATTCAAAATACTAACTGTTTTTAAACTCAAAGTTGGGTATGAGCGATTATTATTATTGCATGTTTGTAGTTAGGTAAAATGTACCAGAAATTGGTTAAACAATACCTAGTGTTGGTTCTTTGTCTTACCCAACAAACCTGTATGGTCCTTTTCTGTTTACCTCCTATTTGTAAAATATTATCCAACTGTTTTAAAAGATACTATGTCCCTTTTGCAGCCAACATAAAATTCTGTAGAACTTTGCAGGAATTATGAATATGTCATGTGTTTTATTTATTAAACTTCATTGATGTACATCAATATTCTGTTTATATAAACATATAAGTCAATTTACAATGTAATGCAACAAATCAATATTTTGTAAACATATATATACCGTATAAGTCAATTTACAATGCAGCGTTTATAGCAAAACAGAAGGAAAATTACATGACACAATGCATTTAGTAATATAATGTACCAATTTACATCCGAAGATTTAGATATATAAAACATAAACAGCACTTTTCTAATAAATTATAACTCATACCATACAAAATAGGTAAATGAAGTACATGGAATGCCTAAAATAAATGACTTATTAGTACTTATACATAACTGCGACCTACTGCAGAATTAAACCAAGAGCATAAAATTGTACATTTCTACTTTGTTATTACATTGTATCTAAAAATTACCCCTCATTGCAATTATGTTTTTGGTGAACGAAGAAAAATATCTATTACAACTTAATTGTCTAATCTCATTATAAATATGAATTTCCAAATTACTAACATTTGATAGTTAAGAGCGAGTTCTGTGTGATCCTGCTGACTGGATATTACGCTAAGCGAATTTCTTCCAGATTACTATTTTTTTCTATAAAATCTACTCGTAAATCTTTATTCTTGTCACATTTCATAATTATATGGAATTTATCTCCTACAAGATTCTTTACAGTCTTCACAGAATCGTAGATTCTGGGGCGTTTTTCTGTTTTTTTTATATCCTCCCGTTTCATGTATGTCCTATCTGTGAAATTTAAACATTAGCAGTGTCCTAGTATTTAAATTATGCACAAAAAAAACGTTTACATTCTAGACTTCACTGTCAGACACTATTGAGTGACTGGCTGATATCTTTGTATCTTTGGTAATAACATACATAAAATGAGCTGTAACAGGTGCCTGGGCATTTGTCTACATCAATAACCCACTACTTGTTTTTTTCTCCTTAAAATTTTGAAAATCGCGCCGGCCGAAAAGTCGCTCAGTGGGGGGGGGGGGGGGGGGGGGGGGGGGGGGGGGGGGGGGGGGGGGGGGGGGGGGGGGGGGGGGGGGGGGGGGGGGGGGGGGGGGGGGGGGGGGGGGGGGGGGG